CAACAAATTATTCGCAGTTCAACCTAACGTAGGTTCACGTGCGGCAGGTGGAGCGGGCCGTAGAGAGGAGATTGTCCTCTCGCGACTGCGCAGAGGCCGTACCTATACTACACATAGTTACATTACACATAAAAAAGAGCAACTTTATTGTCATGCATGTGATCAGCCATTTGCGCGGATTTCAAACAAAAACGAGACAGATTCCGTAATATGAAAACTTTTAGAAATAAACATGTAGGAGTGCCGATCGTGAAATCTTTTGTTTTCTACCATAACTAAAGTAATCGATTTGGGTCACAAATGTAATGCTTTTGCATCAATTTATAACACTATGCAAACTATCTGTGTTCTATTTCATTTGCTTAAATAGCGAGATGACCGACGTGACCGCCCTACCCTCAAAACATCCCGACTTAACTTGATAATGGAAAGAAAACAGCAGAAACTGAGGAGACACAATGACAAACAGAAGATATCACGCATCGCACCCCCTCCCCCCCCTAAAAAATGACTAAAAAAACTAATTAAAAAAGAAAAATATCAAAACAAAGGAAAATGAAAATAAAAATGTTGTTGATATGAAGAGCATGTTTTGAATTAGAAAGTTAAACTTCCGATTTTTAATACTTTGTTGCAGTGATAACATGTCAGATCTAGATAAGATATTTTTGTCATAATGTTAGCACCGATAATATCTCTATGAATTTATTTCAAATGGCTTTCGCCGTGAGTTTTTCTTATCAGTCTTAAATTATTTCACATAATCGCTGGAGCATCAGCTATTATACGACAGTGTTACGGAATGGTACGGCGGTAATCGACCATTACCAGAATATGTTGACAGTTTTAATGACACCAAAGAAGACGATGTTATAAATTGTTGTTTATGATCTGGTATCATGTTTACAATAATAAACTAATGATGTCCTTATCTCAAATGACGTATAATCAAAAACCACTTGCTAGGTTGTCCTTCACTTGACATTTGACATTTTCTGGTACAATATTTGTGTTTATAACGTGTACGTCAACGCGCCCACTGCACCAGTACCTTCGTGATTTTCAAGCTCAATATCAATTGTTGTTACCACGTACACAGCACTTCCCTGGTCTAATGGTAATGCACTTTAGTCCATTCCCAGTGTACTAGGTATCTTTGTATAATCTGGTTCATTGTGAACACATTATGCTAGGTTAGTCGGGTTCTTTGCTAGAATAGTAAAACTTGCAATAGTGCACTCTGGCTAAATGCTAGTGTATTCTTGTTCATATTTAATGAACTTTGGTTCTTATATCTAGTGCGTTCTGTCAGGTAATAGTGAATGTGGGTTCATTGCTAAACTATATGTAATCGAACAGGCTCACTGGTGTAAAGATTGATAAAATAATTGTTACACCATGATTTGCGTACAACATGGCGTGTATGGCTTCTGAAAGTAAATTCTTTGCATCAGGCGGCCAGGCAAAAAATCCAAAAAGGACAAAAACTCGAATTTGGTATGAAAAAACAGATGCCAACATGTATAAACTCGAGCATATATGAGTTTGTCGCAGCCTACTCAAATATGAAGCGGAATATCGTATTAATATGTGGATTTGATGTCAGTTAGAAATCATAAAACCGTTATGAGAGATAGAAAGCAAATAAAAAGATATCGGAACATTTCATGCACACAGAGAGGAGAAAACATGAGATGTAGGTACCAAATTAACCGGTCACAGTATTTAAAACAAAGTTTTAATTTTGTAAAAACAAATGTTTTGTTAAACAATCATGTATGAGTCAAAGAAACAATGAATCCAAAAACGATTTCAGCGACTCTACCGCATTGTGAACAGCAGTGTTCAGATCTTATCATTATCATGTAAGCTTGATTCGTTTTGGGAAATCGCATTTCGACACTAATCACCAATTATAAAATAGAATATAGAGGTTAAAGGATACCTGACCTACAGACACACCAGAAAGAAATGTCGACTGATCGAAATCATCCAAAACATTATGTTGGCTTAGTCTGGCACTATCTTTATTGGACATTATCATATCTTTCATGTGTTACATTGACATCGTACAAAAACTGGTGCTAGTGTTGTTGATGGGAAAATGGCCATAACGTCATTCCACGCATTCCCCCTTGTTAACCAGTTCTCCTCCTAATTTTAAAATTCATTAAAATAATATAAGATTCTTTAATGCCCAGGGGTGTAGGATAGGGACTTTGCCGAGGGTTTTGCCAAATTTGAAAATCCCGAGGGTGGAATATCCCTATACTACACCCTTGGGCATAAAAGAGTATTTTTCTCTCATTTCAACCACCAGAATAAGCACAGAAACCATGAAAATGCATTTAGACTAGCAACCAGTATTTCGGTTGTCTATCCCGAGGCTTTGCCGAGGGCTAGAAAACCAAAAAAATCACCCCGAGGGTTGGAGATTTCTATGTCACACCCTTAAGGAAGGAGATGATTATTTTTCTCCCATCCTATTATTTCAGTCACAATTCCACCGAAAGTAGTGTAAACAAAAACACATGTTGGGTATAAATATCGTCGTTCACTTTTGATGACGTCACAATTACCAGTGACGCGTTTTAATGACGTCACAATTGAACACTTGCTAATCGGCACGAGGCTGTCTCCCCCTAGTGGGTGACAAACTGATATTACCCGGTTAAAACGGGGGACACTCCTGTGAAGGTAAGACATTTCCTACACCCATCTCTTACCCTGGGCAGCTCTATCTTACACACAGGGAAATGAGAGAAAAGGGTTTACGCAACCCCCTTCTGTTTCAACAGTAGTTTCGTTTCCAACATTTTGGCCCGTATCATCACCGATGAGAAACATCTGTATGATAAAGTGTTATTCATTTTTGAAACACTGTTTTTTTTTTACATAATGTTAATGGTGCAAGCACATGTCTGTGTGTTACGTTCATATGGTATATACAATCCTCGCGTAATCTATCCATTGTTATTATCCTTCTGTTTTTGTGTCACAACTTTCCCGATTTCATTTCCGAAAACAGCATGTTCAGAAATAAAGTTATTGTCGAGCTTACCTCTCATTGTTACTTTCTTCGTCCATATTTGCTGCTGTATGACTTTATCTTACATTTCCGTTCCGTTTTTTGTTTAGTTATCTGTCTTTACAGAGCAGTGTGACAAGCTGTTCAGTTTGTCACCAATGATGTACCTGTATCAGTTGAACCCAGTGAAAATATAAATAGCCTTACTTCTCCAACCGTAATTCCGTCAACAATTTGAAATCAAGTGTTCCGCTAAAGCCAGCGTTTTAACTGCACATGTCATTATATTTGTATACCCTGTCCAATCCTGGAAATTTGAAAGTCATCGACGATCTCACAAGTGTTGAAACACATTAGTCTCCAACATCCCGTAGTTTGGATTCAGGAAGATAACCCCTTTGTTCCCTTCAAGGCGGGATACATTGTTGACACATACTCACCCTCAACATTTGATGTATTTCAATAAAAAGTCAACAACCTGTTTATCATTTGCATGTTTTACTATGAAGTTCACAAGTAGTACAATTCACATCATACTGTTGTCATGACACATACAATCATAATTACAATTGTTGTTGATGTGGCAATTTTCTCCCACCTCTACGTATGTGTGTCCAACGCCTCAAGGGTGCAAACTTGTATGACATCATTATCAGTGAATGGCATTATATTATGAGGTAATAATCGAAAGCGCACCAAAAGTAGTTAAAATTAGGTCGGCAAATGACACCCCCGAAAATGAAAAATATCATAAAAAAACAATATGGCAAAAACAGTAGAACTATTACCTCCATTTATTGGGTGTTTTTGGAAGGTAATGACATTTCTCATTGATATTAAAAAATGTAAATATCAAAAATTTGAATATTAAAAAAATATTTTGCATAACTTTTGAAATATTTCGTTAAATCTTCTAAAGATGATGGGAACTTGAATATTTGTTTTCAATAAAAAAGAAATATAGACTGCTTTACTGAGATAAAAGTGTAAAATGAAGCAGTTTCACTTTCATAATTTAAACAGTAGTTTTTAGCTCAATTATTTTTGCGGTAAAAGAATAAACCAAAACATAGTTTTTGTGTAAAATGGAATGTTTGACCTGACACGGACATATGACTTTTATACATTTTCTGTAATGACATTTCTCATAAAAAATTACGTATGAGAAAACCCCCCAAATATAATACAGAATTTGTTTAACTTCTCAAAGACGTAAATTCGTAAATATGAGTTATACCGTTGCATTAGGTACTTTGTTCTGCTATTTCAAAATCAGACCTAAGTTTGTGAATATGTTTATTTTTTATTTTTTTTTAAATTTTACGATATTGTTGCATTTCCATTTTCTATTTAATGCTTTACCAAATGTCAAATGGCTTAGAAATAAGAGAAAAATGTCCATCGCTAAGTTGGCATTAGGAATACAATTATGAGACTCTCGGGTAGAATATCCATACCCCTTAAATACACGTAACAGACTCTGTAAGGAGTGCATAACTGATCGAACAACAATTAAGTTCTTCTCAGGGACACTGTTCTATTGTAATGAATACCGGAATGTACATACGAAAGCATTCAAATACATCAATACGAGAAGAGGACGGAATTCGTTTGTTTTTGGATAGCTTTGCATTATAACACATGAAACTTTTAAGAAGAAAATTGAAGAAAAATTTACAACGCTTTGCTTGCATTTTCAGTCAAATTTACCAATCACTGGGAAAATGATACATTATGAATGCAATTTAAATAACTTTTATTCAATTGATTATATCAGATGAATGATATATAAGTGAATTTAAGCCGAAAATCGTTCATAAGTTAATAACCGAGAAAAAGAAAAATGTCTTGACTAAAACGCAATATTTTTCAATTAAAAATAAAATAAACACATATACAATATGTAGAATAAAATAAAGCTGATAATTTACATTCTATATATTTTAACAATTATTACTATTCTTTTGATTGTTCTACATTGATAAACTTAAATCAATTTACAAATTTTACAGACATTTGATTAGGTCGTGGCAAAATAGCTCTACTATAGTAAAGATGGTCCCAAATATGTTCAATGATTAAAATATTAAACGCAGGAAAACTCTTTCTATGGTGCAGCATTTGCTGCAGTTGCCGATTTGATTTCAAGCCCGACGACTATAACATAAAAGAGACACAACAGACAGTTTTAAAATGAACTCAACCAAAATATAAAGAACAATTATACTCGTCCAAATACTTATGAATGAAACACACAACTATCTTTGGTCAATATATCAGAAGACGCATTCCCGTTTAAACCATATATTTGTTTGCGTGCGTTGACTGGATTGTAGGCCCCGTGAGACGTCTATAGTACGGCAGCGACTGATAGTATAGTCCGGACGAGGTTACCAGACACAGCATAGGCAAGCATCCATTACCTCCTGTTGTTCTCTCCATAAACTTTCTACGCATTATGTCTGTAAATCATACAACACAATTAGCAGATTAAAAAATGTTACCAGATGTATCATCTTTGAAGTTTTATAAACACTTTTTCTTTCAGATAAACAAAAATCTTGAAATTGTTCTTAAGAATTCTATATTCTATTTAAAGCAAGGAGCAGTATTTACATTTTAATGAAAAACCATCTTGATGACAGTGTGCAAATACGTCTCATATTTGTGTTAATGAACAAATGTATGAAATGGTTTACATAAATTAACCAATCTTCTTATTCATCAGTAAAAGCAGGCCAAAACTATATAATATTAATATATTACCTCCCGCAGAAGAAAGTGAATGATTCATTGAGCCATCCATGACACTGTTGCCAGAAGAAGAGGTGGATTCATAAGACATGTTGGGCGTCTCCCTGGCTACAAAAGTTAGTAAACATATTTAATGACAATATGTATGACTTATGATGAAAATGCATGCAACAAGTAAGAAATATACGTGTAAATACAGTTGTTAACTTAAAGATACAGCAGTTATAGATAATATATATTTATACAATTAAAGTATGTGCATTGAGCGATTTAACTTCCTACAAAACAAATGACGCCAATAAAAAAATCATCTGCAATTATTGAAGGCAAAAATGAGAACAGATTTTCTTTGTTATCGTGTTGCGTTCTGCTGATTGCGTGTCAAACATAGCAATGTTGAAACATGCGTTGATTTACGTTCTTGTTATTTACAAAGAATATTTGCGCTTTCTTTATTATCGTAAGCTATATGTTTTGATAGGTTTCTAACACATGACATCCGTTAATTTTGTTTGAGATAAGAAAATTGAGGGTATAAAGTGTAAGGTAGCTTATAACTTAACTTTAACAAAACTAGCGGTTACATTGTGAAACGTTGAATAAAGCCTTCGAATCGTGGAATTTATCTGTCATATTGCATATATTTATTAGAGACATATTGAGATGTAAAAAAAATCCATTCTGAATTACACGATTGTAAAAATTACAGATTGATGACAATTACAAAACAATGGATATTTACATTTCCGGCGGAGTTTCTTCTTCTCTACTTGTATGTCAACATCTTCGTCTCTGTAAAGGAAATATAACTGTTAGGGGCATTTGATGAAAGTTTTAGTGATTTTGTATCTTTTGTGTATCCGTGAACTATATCGTATGAAAAAGACCTTTGTGTTGATTACGAACTACATCGAAACGAGACGTCTTCAGTATGGTGATAAACATGACCCTAAGTTATATTGAATTACACTGAGGTGTTTTTACACGCTGAATATCAAAGGTGATACAGAGAAGGTGTTGAGCTACCATTATTCTTGTATTTCTTCGTACTACCTGGCTGATCATGTGTAGGGCCTGCTAAGTTAAGTTAAAATGTTTGACATCGCACCAAAATATTTGATTGTGATGAAAACAATTTTGTTCAATTGGATACAACAAGCATGTTTATTGGATTTTTTTTTTCATGTAAAATAGAAAAAATACAACAAAATGAAAATATATATCTATGAACTGAATACTTTGATGGTGTATTTTGAACAGGACAGTTATCAACGTTTACCATGTAGGAAATATAATGCCACTGTTAATCGGTAGACAGGCATTTCTTGTACAGTAAAGCATGCACATGCATGAATAATTTCAACAAGTCAAACATGTACAATGCTCATCTAAATGTCACTCCGTGTCGCAAATGTTAACAGGCTAGCCATGTGTGTGTATATTCAATCGTTTCCACACACATCCTTGTTAATTTGACATGACAGTAATTTAGCTGCAGGCCATATAAAGTACAAAATTTTAGGATGTGCATGGCTTGTTGTCAAATTGAAATCAAAGCGTCATCTGAAAAATGTTTGCATGTCAAAACAAAGCTATTATAAATTAAAATGTATTTTAGTCATCACAAACATGTCTTCCTTCATCAGCCAATACGCATGTCACACCTATTTGACCTTTGATAAAGAAGGAAGCGTCCCAAAGACCTGCGAACCCTTATTAGGTGATGCAGTTATTATCAATTTTCCAAAACAAATCTAACGACCAAATTAGATCACTTAACATTTTATACTTATTTGCCTGGAGGTGAAGATCAATGTGACCTAATTTCAACGATATTCTTTGGCTGATGCTGGATGTTTCATAATTTTTTGAGAACAGTTAAAACAAATATGACACGTGAAAGATTTCAGAAGAAATTCAATTATTTGACCGTATCTGTTACGGTTGAAAAGTTATGACTCCAGCATTAAAATATATTATGATATTATTAATACAAACATAATTTATTCGTTATTGACTGAGGGTCAATTCAGTCTAATAACAAGGGTTGTACTGTAAATGGTTCGTGGCATGTCATGCATTGAGCCTAGTCTTCGCGCTTTATAAATAAGATTGAACACTGATCCGGAGCCGGGCATGGACAACAACGTATCAACGGCATTATCTATCATAGTTGGTTGCTTACCAGGGTTAAACGTCATATTAACAGCTAAGGTCATTTAAGGACGTGCCTCCATGTCTTATTATGAATGAGTGCATGTGTGTATGTGTTCTGGAGACAGGGTTTGCTGGTGTAATTGCCTCCTTACGAATATGATGCCGACTTTATAGTGCTATATCATTGAAATACCATGCCGTGGGTACCCATCACTGCATTCCGCTCGGTCACATTAAACTGAAAATGGGTGAACCAGTTGTTGTCATTTCCCTAAACGCTGAACACTAAGCAGGGAATAGCAACTACAAATTTAAAGGACTTTGGTTTGTCCTGGCCTCGGGACAGAATCCATTACCTTCCCAAACTGGGCGAACGTTTAACATTAAAGCCAAAATGAGGTACTGCCAAGCAGGGCGCTAGGAAACAACAGTTAGTTAGAAGTAGAACTAAATATGAAATATAAATATTGCAATCAATGGGTGCTTCATATTAGCGGTACACATTTCCTTTCATTCGAAAGGGATAAATATTATTAGATATTAAGGTCACGCTGTCTCATGGGTGATGAAGAAGAAACAAAACTTTAGTAATATTTTCAGGTTGCAGAATCGATTTCATCAACATAAGTATATATAGGGATATAACGGCATTATTTAAATTTTCATGCCGGTATGAACGCAAATCGGTTACATCCATGGCAGGCTTCATGTTTAATATGGATGTAAACGATTTGCGTTCATAACGGCATGAACATTTAAAAAAACGTTGTTCAACATATATATTTACATTTTTAATATAGAACAATTCTTTAATTTTAATTTGTTCTTAAATTATTAATTCATTACTGCGTTTTGTATATGCGCCGTCCCTTAAACGATATTGGCGGGACAGCCCTATTTAAATGAAATTGGCTCCAATAATTAACCGTATTCATTTAAGCGTTTGACACAGCGGCGTTCTCCATGTTAACCGGAGCGAAGCGACAGGACTCATTAAACAAGTTTAATCTATGACGTCATAAATAAACCAAGTGCTACGTCACGAGATTTTTGTTTTCATACTCAAATGAAATGCATTTCTGCTCGAAATCTTAATAAAGTGGGTTGCAGCGCAAATGTAAATATATATGTATATTATGATGGAAAATATGTCTCGAAATTCGAAAATAATTAAATATTTAACCATATCTTCTACCATAATATACTCTGAGGTGTAGGTTATGCCTTTACTAACACTTTATTGGAAGCATGCCGCTTTCCGATAGTGAGAGTCGAGCCCGAACGACAAAACCTGGCTTGCCTGTATGAAAAAACATCAAAGACCTTTAATTATGCATTAAAAGACAAGTATATGTACAGTAAGTCTGTGTTTTACCAATGATTGACACAACTGTGATGTTGGTTGCCAATTTGTGTTTGTTACAATATTAAAAAGACTTGAAGAATACGCGGTTTCTTCCATTCTGATGCCAAAGACGAATTCAATTTTTTGCTTTGACTATGATTTGGAGTGTATATATATAAATCATTCTTCCGATTCATATCTTAAATAGACACTAATTAAGTTTTAAATCATACACAATGGCACCCATTATACATACAGTTGAGTCTTAATGTAAAAGAGAAGCAATATGTAAGTACAGTTGTGATTGCACAATGCACCAAAAACAGCGTGCGCACATCGTACATACATCGTGTGCACACCGTCCGCACTCAAGTGTGCAATTTAACAATCGTTCTTCCCTTTATGTGCTTCTCTCCTCACAACTGCGATTTGATATAATTGGTTGATAAAAAACCGGCTCATAGGCAATAATGTACACTGTATATATTAATTTCTCATCACAAAAATTAAGATTATGATCATCTTACAATGCGTTTTACGCAGTATTACAGTGACCGTAAGACTGTCAAGAATGGTTTGGCCCTAAGGTAACACCACAAGTTAAAAAACATTTAGATGAATGAGTTTTTTTCCATGGCCTGTGCCCAACAGAAATCTGATATGTGATACCGTATGACCGTTATGAAAACACCGCTAGACGTAAGGCATTTTTTCAGTTGCATTCGGCTGTGTCTAAAGTTCCCCTTCACTTGGATTTTCTCACCTCGAAGAGTAAGTGCCCCGGTTAAGGGAAACTGCGATCAAGATACCTGTATATGGGATTGTGTCGAAATTTCTGGAAATTAAAACGACACGGAAAACACTATTTCTAAATTCATGGAAATTCAAATAGAAAGAATAGCTAATATATGTGGCTAGAATATAGCCACATACTTAAAGATACAGTTTGAACACGACACCGTTTATATTGTTGAGCCATTCCTCAATTTTACACCAAATACGATTGTTACCGCACAACGTTCGTCCATGGTGCACACAATCAATAATCGTTCAGATTTTAATTGTTCGCACATGATGCACATAATGTGCGCACACCGCGTAACATTGTGCGATCCTACAGCTGTATTGAAAACTAATACAAAATTGAACAAAATTCAATGAAATACAGAATGAATCAATGTAATACAAACGTAAAACATCAATACTTTAGGTAATATAGAACATAACATACCCAATACAACGCTTGTACAGAGGTAAGATGAAACAGAGGTATAACTGATATTACACAAAATACAGACGTTAAATAAATATATCTTGATAATGATAATAATAACGGAATATCGAATACGAAAGTAAAACTGAACAGCAGTACTACAACAGTACCACAAAAGTCGTACGTCAGTACTGAATACAAAAATAATATTAAATTAACATAGAAGTCATGTAGACGTCATACTGAATACAAAAGTTATACAGACGTATATAAAATGGTTTGTTACAAACGAAACAAAAATGCAAAAGAGAAACAACAATAAAGTAATATTGATGTAACAATAACAATGTTTAATGTAACAATAAAACAGTTATACTGCCGCTGGTGTATTATACAGATCTGTGTATAAAACAGTTATACTGCCGCTGGTGAATGATACTTACTCTTTACCTTTTACAATTTAACTAGTTTTGTACATACGATATTTTCTTGTTCTTGAACGCTCTCGCAAATGGGTTATGGGAGATTTTCAGCCTGGTGATTTTATCGTTGAGGTATGCGGTAAGTGCAATAAATTCGGTGCCAGGGAGGGTAAAGCTGTACAGGTGGTCCCCCCTGCTATGATGTACTACGTTGATCTGTATCATATACTTATGCATAGACTCCAGACAAATCTATAAGAAGAAATAAAATAATACCCAGTTAAGCATATGTCAAAAACAGTTACGCAACAAGTCTATAAAAAGTAGAGATTTGGCACATTAATCGTATCCTGTTACCAACATAAACATATTGTAACGGTAAAGCAGTCATTTATAATAACCTTTACCAACCTAAGTATAGTTGTATTAACCCTTACCTCTACTTATTATAGTGAATAGTTATTTACAGTTATAATATTATGATCATAAGATTATAGCATAGCATTGCTTTTCCATTTCATAGAAAACGATTACGTTTAAATACACTTATATTAATATTGAAATACAATTTTACTGTAACATATAGTAATTATCACGTATGCTTTAAAATATATCGTAATATCACAGTAAAACTTAATTAAGTCGCACTTGACCTTATTAAATCTAAGCATTACATATACTTACCTCTTTATCGTTAAATTACAGAATATTTTACGTGTATTTATCAGGACTGGTAACACGGACCTTGATAAATCGTTTTAATTCGTTTTCAGATATCCCTACGATATGTTGTCTTTAAATTACAAGAAATTTGTTGATAACGTCAGTAGCATTTATCCTCCTGAATTTAAAATAAAGGTTCAAGAAACGTTTTAATAGGCTGCTTACCTCAATCTTTATTTATAACATACCATCTGGGACGGCTTACAACTAAGCTGTACGATAAGCGTGGCAAATTCGATATTCCGACCGTGCTTCCCCAATCTACTGTGTTCCCATGTCGCAGTTGATTTAGTATCCAACGACTTTGTTCCGAATATCACAATTTTAAAAGTCCTCGCAATAACCATGGTCATATGAGGAGGGTTGCCTAGGGAGACACCGCTTGAAACAGACAGTAGAAGGAATAGAAGGAAGACAATACAGATAGCAAACGGAAAAGGTAAGTGTTGCAGTGGGTCAGCAGATCGAGGTTGGTCTCTCCCATGGTCCTCTTCGGAGAAGACAAAGAAGAAAACCCTCAATTCTGCAGGTGCCCCATTTAGACTCCTCTTACGCTCTCAACCCGATTCTGCTCGGGTTGACAGTGAGTGAAAGGGAATCAAATGAATTACACTGAGCCATCTCTTTTATACCAGGAGTTGTCGTATATGGCACTGCGGACCATGAAACGTGTATGATGGCGCATACGCGACAATAATGTTTACGAAGCATCCGAATCCAACAATTTAGATCTTCTCTTTTCCTTGTTAGTATTTCCTTGTATCTTGATGTAAATTGTGATTGTGTCATTATGTTACTAATTTCTCGTATTTTCTAGAAATATCAATATAAAATATCTATCTGAATATTCAGTATTTAATTTCACTATATGTTTACTGCGATATTCTCCAATTTTTTCAAGATGCTGCAAAATTAAAAGGATATACTTATGTCCTTAACATGGTAGTTTTCATTCCCTGTAAATAGCTGGTTAAGGAGCAAGTCTCCTTCAACACTTTGTCGCTAGCTCCTTGACCATAACAACTTGATCATGTAAGTGTTAACGATATCTCTTTTAATATCTTGTTAAGTTAACAATATTCAAAACACAACACAATACTGCTTAAAACGTTTTGTTTTACATTAACATGTGAGAAAAATTACGTAGGAACTGTCAATAAATCGTCTCTGAAGACACCAGCTCGAAAACCTTATACGTTGTTTTTCTAGATACAGTGGGTGAAACAATCGCTTCATCGCCGTATTAAAATCGCTTATATGTAGATGTTTAATGACGTTCGTTTCTGCTCAGAAGTGACAAATTCCGACATTGATCTGCAACTTCGAACACTTGCGCGAAAAGTCAACAATACAATCCGGTAGCCCCGATCAGAAATATTGATAGAGATATTTCCGTGGAAGATGATATTTTGACAAATAAAGTACTAGAAAGAAAAAGATCATCGGGCAATGAATAATGGCAGAGTGCAATACAAAAACATTCCAACAGAACTAAAAGACGTAATAAAGTTTCATTGATTACAAACAGTGAACAATCAAATGATTTTGGAATCCTATATTGACATATCCGAACCACAAGAATCATACACATCCTTGTAAGTAGGAATATACAATGAAAGGCAATGTATAACACACGCTACAAACACTGATATGCACAAACCTGCAATTTGCAACATATTGGTGAGTGTTCCCCGCAAAGATTCGACAAACTGGTTTACTGTTCATTGGTCTGCTGACTCACACGCGTCCTGCTTCATGCAAGTGTACGAGTCTTACATGTTCAGTAAGTTTTAGTGGATGAATTGTCTGTCTGTGTGTTTTAAACTTCTGCAACTTCCGAACTTCTATATACTTATTTCTGATACGCTCACTAAATTATATATATTTTCAGGAATAGCTAGTTTTACCGTATACTTACAGTAACAGAATCATCTCGAGGGATTCTACAGCAATTTCACGTTCCATTTTCAAGCTTATTAGTTCCTTTCGGGTTCCCGGTGAGACGGTGTGCTATAGGTAGGTTTGCACTCTGTACTTCCGTCCGTCCATTACGTTTGTCCGTCACATTGAGTAACCAGATTTGATATGACTAACTCTCTCTCATACTAATTTGGGTGTCGACCGTCAAATGCTTTTTCGTCTTCCCATATTACTTCTGCAGTTGATGGATTCAATCCATAACCAAAGTTTGAGTCTAGCAATTGGAGCTTTTCGAACAACACCAATAAAGAGCCTTTACAGTATGGGAATGAATCATCCCTTATTGACCAAAGAAATAAACTGTCATTAAAGTTTAAAGCCCGACTTGAATCCAATCCAAAAAATCCCGCTTTCAAAACCCAGTATTGAACCCAGAAAACCATATTTCTTTCGCGCGCGCAGAAAAATAACCGTCTTGTCGGCATTTGGCATCTGAATTTTCAAATTTATCGTAGGTTCTAAACATAAATTGGAATAACTTAACTGAATAAAACACACGGGAGTGTTCACCAAAGGAAATAAAAACACCTGCTGTTGATTTTGCATTGCAAGAGCGGGGAAAAATCCAGTGCAATGTCGAAAGAAAACAAATCCTCCTTTTGAAACAGTTGCAGCAGTTGCGAACGTTTGTACTGAAATCCAACTGAAGTCGGCGACTCCATTTTCTCTACAGAAGAATGTGCCACCAGTTTGGCCCTTGACCTTATCGATGAACACTGCATTATAATTCAATCATTTGTTCACACTCTTTGCATATCCTGTTTCTCAAAGCAATGCACAAAAAACTTCTCCGTGGATTCTGAGACCCGTTGGATTTAAAGATGCAGACAGAACAGTTAAAAAAGGTAAATCGCCCGAATCATGCTATTTAGTCTACACATATCCCGCTTCCGATTTGTAAAACATTTAGAATATCTGTTTTTACTCGGTTTCTTTTTCTTTCTTGCTATTGTTCCGGCTATTAGTTTGAGGCCGACACATACTTCTAACTTACAAATTAAGCCCGACACATATCTACATGTTATCAGTTTTAATAGACCCTTACCTACAAAAATTAATTTATACCTGACGACCAATTACCAGTTTCTCTTAAGGGCCTGTTGCATATCTACCATTACTTATTTGAAGTTAACATATCCATGTCAATTAACATATGCAGTTTCGGGTAAATTATATCGTCATGTCGTAAGATGTGGATATTGTTTGGCCAACTACAGAATCGGGATTTTTCTGTTGCGTCTACAACAAAGAAGACACCGAAGAGACCAACACTGATCTGGTGCCCCCATTGTAAGGTTTACACTCTATTGATCTTTACAATCAATATGATATATTGTGGAGCCAATTTGTTCGTTATTGATGTATTTCTTTAATCCTTTACACATTTTAAGCTATTAAGTTTTGGTTTGATATGTGTTTATTTTCATGAATGTCTGTTTTTACAGTATTGTTGGCCCTAAATGAGTCACATTGTCGATGGGCCGTTAAACAATATAAAACAAACAAAACATCTTTCAGCGTTATCTCCCTTGGTACCCGTCCTCATATGACCTTAGCTGTTGCGTGGACGTAAACACCCTAAACAAACAAACAAAACAAAATATGCCAGTCACTCATTTAACCCTTTAGCGGTTACTTAATTCAAGGAAGTCCTACCAGTAGTTATTATAAAGGATTTTTCTCTTATTTACATGAAACAAAACAACCAGTTATGAACTTACCTGTTGCCAATTGAAAGTTTACACAAACCTATCAGTTGCTTACAGCTTCTACTTATCCGAGACTTCACTTACTTACCGGTATTAATCTGTATTGGTTACCTATTTGAGTCGGTCACATACTTAGTATTTACTTATGTAAACATCCCTGCAGGCGGGGGATCGGGAAAAGAATACACCAACTGTTAACAACTGTATCGTATCGTAGGAATCGAATAATGCTGCAACCCCCTGCATAATTGGGGATTTGTTTTGGTGTCCTCTATTTGGGGACACAAAAGCGACCAAAATAAATATGCTGCGCCTATTGCAATATATTGGATCCTTGTCTTTCTTTCTACTTCTAACTACCTTTTATTTCCTAGCGCCTTGCTTGGCAACACCTCACTATTGGCTTGAAATTCGAGCGTTCGCCTAGGTGAGGAACGCAATGGATTCTGTCCCCAGGCCGGGACATACCAAAGACTTTAAAAATGGTAGTTGTTATTCCCTGCTTAACGTTCAGCATAGAGCTATTACAAGGAGGCAAGTAAACAATCATACCCTGTTTCCAGCACACATACACACTTGCACGCTTACACAACACACATGGAAGCATGTCATGAGCTGTTAATAGGTCAGTTAACGAAATAATACCAAAATCAAATTTAACTTAAAACATATATAAGGGTTTATAGTTCTAATCTGGTAATACTTACCAGTTACGTACGTCAACTTACTTCAATTGAACACTTTTCCGCAACTTATTTTTACAGAGTAAAGCGATTTTAGTTACCCCTACCTCCAATTTTTCAATGAAAAAATAATCATGTTTTCACTGATTTTGCAAATTTAACGCTGAATATAAAAAGTTCTGCTGTTGATCTTTTTTTAATATTTAATGAATCAAAAGAAAATAGGTTTCTCTTTCTAAAACAGCCACAAAAATGAGATTGTCCGTGTTCTTCTTTTTTTACCCTACATATTTTTATTTCATTTTTTTTTTTTTTCATTTTTTGGGGTCAAAAATTGAAAGTGGTTCAGTTACAATAAATATGTGAAAGAATACTAACCTTATATAATTTCCCACTTTGTAACATATTATTTTCATCATATTGAACACAATAAAGTTGTACAGCAAAATTGAACCTGTTACAATTAAAATTTGCGACACACTTGTGTTAAAAATGGAGAAATGTTTGCCTTTCGTGAAGCGCAAAAAATGCACGTTTCAAAATGGCCGCCAAATTGGTCATTTTTGAAAATTCTTTCAAAAAAAAGTTCTACAAACAGCAGGCATCTAATTTTGTGACACATTTTTTGCAGCATGTTTGATATTTTAACCTGCCGCATATCCATCGGCTACATATTTAAGCCTGACTTAACTCTACCGCTATCTATTTTTATACGCCCGTCGTCCGACGGGTCGTATATTGGTATGGACTGCGTTGTGTGTCAGTCCGATCGTCCGTTAACTTTTCCTTGTCATCGTTCTGCTGGCTTCATTCATTAACATATCTTGATAAAACCTTGATAGAACGAAGTTGTATGTCAGAAGTTTACGTGCATTTTTAGTGGAGTTATGCCCCTTTTAATTCCAAATAAGGGCATTGTGTAGTAAATGCAAGAACTGGTTTTATTTTTAATCAATTCATTTAAAAAGTTTACGGTGATGCTCGAAGCATTTATGTTTAACATATATTACGTTTTTTTTCTGTCGAGTTTTAAATTTCCGTGTTGTGCCACATCACACTTAACATAGCAACGCTGTTCATCGATTTAGCCGTTAACTTCTGCTTGTTTACGCGATAAACAGATGTTCTTCAATCGTGGTATGTAAATGCTATTCGGCAGAGTTATGCCCCCTTTTCATTGCCAAATAAGTGCATTCCGTCGAAAATTCAAGAACGTTTTGAGCATTTATTTTTAATTCCTTTCAAACTTAGTATGATAATACAAAAACCAAACATGTTTAACATATATAACAGGTTTTGTTGTCGCGTACAAACTACTCATACCAAGACCTCTGTTTACCTCAAAATCAAGGTTCTAGTTTAAGTAATAACAACATTGACCACGAAGGTGTAATTCTGAAACACAAAATAGCTTGCGCCATAAACAGTAAACGAATGGCAAGGTCACAGTCACCGACAAAACAGTGGCAGTAATCACATTTATATCATAAGTCGCTACCAGTTTCCAATATATCAATACCCTTCCGAGGTTATGACGGTCGTATCATGATCCGCTCGTGGTGCTCTTATAAATTTACTTCACACCTTCCGGTCACCAATTTTGACACGGCACATACCTGCTAATAACTTCTAACCTTACACTCAATTTATCGTTAGTCATTTCAACCTAACACAAAATTTTGGTAACTTATTTAAACCTGCCTTTAACTTATCGGCTAGACTAATGCACATCTTCAGGTTATTTCAACCTCAAAAATCAACCTGCTGTCAGCCTGTCCGTCTTTTAGTTCCAGAAAAGAAGTCGCTTAAACCAATATAGCCAAATAACCCTTTTTTGACCGCCCCTTAGCCCCTTAGGGAGTCAGCCCCTCCATTTGTACAATTTTGAATCTCAACCTCCCATGACTGCTTTCAACCAAATATGATTGATATCCCGTGCATAATTCTAGAGATAAAGTTGTTATAGCAATAAAGCCAATTGCCCCCTTTTGGCTCTGCACCTCAGCCCCACCATTTGTACGATTTTGAATCCCCACCACCTAGGGCTGCCTCCAGTCAAATGTAGTTGAATTCCAATCAGAGATAAAGAAGTTTCCGGTTTTACAGATTCTGGTGTTGGTGTAGGCTTTTGGGAATAGGTTACCTACTAATCTATATAATGGTAGGCATTTTACATTGTTATTTTGAGATGTGTCACACCGCAAATATATTTGATCAGCCATTCCATGTAAACACCTGCACTGGAAGAGTTGAAAGTGTCACCATTCAAACTGAACACGATTCGGGTATCGTCGATGAAGCAAAAGACGTTTCCCTTCTTAAACACCTTGTTCAAACTTTACCCAGTGGCTAGTGAAATTTCAAATTGTTGCCAAAATGAGACAAGGGTTGGTTGGTTGTACGAGGTTCAACGTCAAAACAAATACATAGCAGTGAAATGATACCAGGTGATCTTGATTTTGTTGTATTCTATTTATAGCGACTAGCATGCTATTTATTACCAAGCAGTAACGAACAGTTCACAATATTATTGTTGTAATGTAAGCATTAAAACTAGAAAGTTTACACCTTAACAGAATGAAAAAAATAATTGTTTATTGTTTCATTTTGTCAACAATGTTCTACTTGTTGAATATTATTTTTTCCAAGACTAATGCTACATAAAATGAATTGTCCGAAACTATTTGCAGTGTGACAAATTCCTTTCGTAGGTTTCAAGCCGGTTTTAATGGGCTTAAGAACCTATTTATGTTAAAAAACCCAGTTTCCTTGCCTTCGGCTCAAGAATTATTTATCACATAAACGTATATATTAGCTACTACAATCAGCCTGTAATCTTTATATTACAAATATTCTCCATTGAGGTATAAAGTGATGCCACTCTTTAAATACCATAAAGAACATTTCAACGAGAAGGGGAAAATCCTAAAGCTAAGGTAAGGGATGCAATCGCCAAGAAAAAAATATTTTGCTTTTATATGATTTATTACCTTGTTCGGCCCTAAATGATTGGAGAGCTTCGCATGACCGAAAGAAAGGATGTCCTTCGTCCAGTAAGATCCTGTTGCCGGTGAGATAGGATGCTTATAGGGCGTGATCGGGTGATTAATCTCCGATTTTCCAACTGACGACCAAACGTTGTCCTTGTACTTGTAACGCTTGTCATCTACTGGAATCACGGTCATCCCGATGCTGTACATACTGCTCGCGTTAAGGCCTTCCACGGTCACCTCCACGCGTGGATACATGAGCCTGGAAAATATACATAATAGAATTTCATCAAGGGTCTATCTCAAATTTTAGTAACCTGTGACTCAAAACACCCTCCGACCAAGTAACCGGTCAGATTGTTGTACAAGCAATGAATAACAACACAAATGTTGTTCATTTATACCAAATTTGATATTCCAAACCTACATGTCTTTACATAAGTATGATCTGTACTCAAACGGACAAATAATCCCTCACCGAAAGTTACAAAATTCGGTAAATAAGGTCTACTGACTTGGCTGTACATTTTTGCTAAAACGTCAAGAGAAGAGAGGAGTTCTACCACAAAACCAGGGAGCCTGCATTAGGATAAGCCTTTTCACGCAAGTACAACGCAAGTTCTGACTCCTCTTTGTGATTTTTTTCCGATGAACATTTGATAAGAAAATTCAATGAGCGTTGTGCTTTTAACCTCTTTAGCTTTTGGTTGCTCAAATATAAAAGAATGCTAGCTCATTTTCTATAAACATGCAATTGTTACTGAAAAGCACAGATCTCACAAACAACGAAACGAAACGTCTTTAAGCAGTAAATGTTGTTATTGTTGCTATAGCGTTTAGCTAAACAAAACAATTCCTGACGCAAACTTAAAGAAGAAAACAAAACAAATAAACAAAAAACACATCCTCGTAAATAGTACCGCATAGCAACCAGAGTGCTGACTTCCATAACGAAGCAACAGTCATTTGGTGAGTCTAGTGACGTGTTTAACGCCCAACAACTCGTCAGTATTCATTAACGTAACTGGCGATAAAATTGACGACCTTATCAGCGCTAAAAGCTGACCAGGAGGCGCTGTCTTCTGCCCATGCGTGAGCCACGCAGAAGGGAGAAGGGGACATGAGGTAAGAGCCTTCATCCTAAGATTCGATAATCCGTACCTGAGAAATAGGAACTTACGCGTGTACCAGGTGAATAGGAGTCCCAGGAAAAGAAAATCAGTTATAAAATCCGAAATTAAATGTTCTGTTTTGCATGCTGTAAGCATTTTAACGTTTTAATTTACGTTAGATGAATTCCTTTTTATGAAAGAAGATATTTAGTGTTGTTTGACTTGACCAATAACCAATCAAACTTAGATTTGTTTATGTGAAAAAAACATGCCGCCTCTCATTAGACAACACTCTTTCCACTATTCTTTCAAAGTAAACCTACATGAATCAATTCAAGTTTTGGTGCAGCTACTATTGTCTTCAATATATTAAGTTTAGTGGAGGAATTTCTTACTAATTACAGTATTTATAAAATTCATTTTTGAATTAATTCAGTTTAAAGGTCATGATGCTGAGGGTCATTGTGCCGTTACATAGTGCTCGGAAACGGAAATATTCACGTTTTAGCATAGGTCGTTCATCTGGAGTTTTCATAATATTTACACAGGTGCTGAGTACAAAAATACACTACATTAAAAAAGCTAGCTTTTGTTTTGTAGACACATATGTAAATGGCCAAAAATTTAGTCTCAAACCGAATTCGATTTTTTTTTTTAAATGTGAAGCCCACATAGTCCACTTCATCATGTATATGCCAAATTTAGTGCTTTTTTATATTACAGGGGTTATTCATTGTACAAAAATATCACCCATGGCCACCGTACGCTACTGTACACTGCTACCTAAGAAAACGTTAAGTCGCCAATGCTTAACTCTTGTTGCCACGGCAACTAAAAGTAGCCACTTGGGACTCTGAATTATGTTTAGTTTATTTGTTTACCTTATTGTAGATGAAATTATATTGGTTGCATTAGATTGCTGATATTGTTCTTTCCTCTTTTTAAAAAAACCCATTATTTGGTGATTTAATGAAAACAATTCCCTTCATCACTAGTGAAATATTGTTTTATCACAATGAAAATATCTGTTTAAAGCTGATGTCAATGACTGTATCAAAAGGTTCAGCTTTTCAGTATTTTGAATGACACTGTTTCAACTCTTTTATTGGTAAAACATGCCAAAATGTAACAAACAAAATCAATAACAATTATTTTATTAAATTAAAAGCTTAATTACACTCTTATATTGCCCCATACCACACCAGACCGGTTTTATTTTTTTTCTAGTTGGAGGGAGGGAGAGCCTGAATCAATTAGAGGAGATTTGCACCTTTGACCATCGCACACAGGTCTTATCCGAATTTAGATCACTAATGACCATATACACAACACACATTATATCACAGAAACCAGTCAATTATTGCATTTCAACTTAACAATACCGCTTAGATAGATTCGTTAAGAAATGAGCATACCTCCCAGATCTATTGATGATCATTTCCGTTCCTTCCTGGCTGAAGCTCCGCCACAGCTCTTTGTTGTGAAGCTTCACATTAATGTTTGTTTTGGAGGCGTCGCTGGACATGTTCGGATCGAAGGATATCCTGCTGCTTGCAGAACCCGGGATCTTGGAGGCGTCGCTGGACATATTTGGATCAAAGGAGATCCTGCTGCTTGTAGAACCCTGGTTCGTCTGAAGATAAGGACTGTACTCGGTTGATATCATCCTATCTGCCGGCATGTGGTGTAGCCAACGCTGAACCATTTTCTCGTTATCTTCTATCTCATATCTCGGGGCTGTATTAACACTCAACGATTGTTCGTCCCGTTTAAAGTCATGGAAAGCCTTTTTCGAAACATCCCTCACTTGACTGGTTCGTAAACAAAGGTCGAGTGGCTGAAAAGAGTAGCAATATAATTTATTAAAATCAAATGACGTTATACTCTGACAATATAATAATGTATTATTGTAAGGGAAAATGAAACAGAGAGAGAGTATAATGCTTCGATGAGGAAGGAATAGTTGAAGACTCTTTACTGATGAGCAGTGATTCATCCCCAGCACTTCCAATCCCGAAAGGTTACCAAGCAAGAGGTGGACACAACAGCAAGCTACAACAGTATCCAACCAAAAACTTTCTAAATGTTTTCCGAGGAAGGAGATAGGAAGAATAAAGATATAGAAATGCGAAAACAACGGCATTCTGCTGAAAGATCTCCACGTATCTGGTGTGCAAGGAAATCTACCAACATTCATATCAAATTTCATCACCAACAGACGATTGAGAGTTAACATTGGAACAACCTATACATACATAACCTAACAGGACATTAGGTACCTCAAAACAGCCTTTTTTAGTTTAAAATTTGACAACATTGTCAAACGTATTGTACCATGCGTTCAGAGGTACATGTCAGGAACAAGAGGTCTAATGGTCCTGTATGTCAAACATGTCAGCAACAAGAGGTCTAATGTTCCTGTATGTGTGATGAGTCCCCAATATTGAACATGTCAAACATGTCAGCAACAAGATGTCTAATGGTCCTTTGTAGACGACTTCCTAATCTGTATCCAAAAGGGTTTAAATTTTCAAAATATAAAAACATTCTATATGCACTTTTGTCAATTTAGAAAATATCACGACGAAACGCATTTGACACTCGACGGTATAGAATGACACTCGATGGTATAAAATTACACTCGATGGTATAAAATTACACTTGCTGGTATAGAAACGGTTGAGGAAACAAAATGTTTTTCCTATATTTTGACAATAAACTTACTTGCCTTCCTCACGTTCAATATCAAAATTTATCAAAAAAGCAGGTACAATTCGTACGCCCCACCTGCAGGGACTAATGCGAGTCATATTAAATTGCAAGTTAAAATAATTGGGCCGAGATACATAAAATTCCAATAAACGTAAAGAGTTAATACACTTACCTCATCCATGTCGCGTTTTAGAGACTAATGGTAGACCTCCTCAAAGAGAGCTTCTTACAGATTTATCTACTTTTCCAATATGCGTTGTTACTGACGAAGACACTCTTAGATATCAATATAGGTGATAGTTTTGACACTACCGGAAACATGACGCACGGGATTCAGCAAGTTGATAATTAAAAGGATAACACTTTGCTGGTAAAATGATATTTACACATGCCTCGCCTCTAAGTTTTCTCTCACCTCTACTACTGGTAATTCACCTTTTAAGCCAGCCATCTGATTGGTTTGGCTATTTATTTCTCTCTCATCTGTAGTCTGTCCTTTAACAGCTCTTGCTGTCGCTTTTTCTCAGAAAGTGATAGAAGGATCTTTCTTAATTGTTAGCTCAACTAGACCGAATGACCATGTCGAGCTTATGGCATACCGCAGCGTCTGTCGTACGTCCGTCAACTGTTCCTTTGAAATGCTACTTGTCCTGAACAGCTTTATGGACTAAATTTGGCCTGGAGCATCCTTCGACAGGGGGAACTAAATTTTGTATAAACGGAGGGTGAGGCCCCTCTGGGTGCTGAGGGGCGGGGCCAAATAGGGAAATTTGAAGTTTAAGTCTTCAAAATCCTTCTATCTATGTATTGTCGGAGGGATTTTAACAAATATTTGTCAGGGGCAAACTTGGGTAAAGGGGATTCTTAAATATCCTTCTTCTGTATTATTGAAGGCATTTATCAAAATTTGACCTGGATCATCCTTGGGCAAAGGGGACTAAATTTTATATAAGCGGAGGGTGTGGCCCATATTGGTACAGAGGGGCGGGGCCTAGGGGCAGAAAGAAGGGTCCTAATGAGGGACAAGTTTTGCTCAGAGACAGAGCCCATATTTAAAAACAATTTTCATATGTAATAAGAATAATTGTTCATGGTTGGTTTATGATACAGGCCCTCTGGGCCTCTTGTTATATGAAAGTTTCACGTTTTATCTTTGCGTGCATGTTTCCTTTTGAGACTGATCGGAAAAAATGAAATGGCCGACAGGCATACTTGTGGTTTAGACAAGTATTATCTGGTATTGCTTTATCTTAAAAAGGACTCAAATTTGCATATTTCCCTTTATATAAATAAACCCCAAAAGCTATCCAGATTTGTGGTATTTGCGGCATCTTGTCACACATAGGAACGGCTATTGTAACTACGTCAGTATCAACGGTCCTGATGAGAAGTCGAGTATGTCCTTCAATGACACAGTCTGTTGCATGGAGCATCAGACGAGTGTCAGCTTCCTCTTGTGTGCACGGGCAAAGCGCCGACAAATGCACTCAGATGATGACAGCGCAACTTCGTCGCACGTGGTGATGACAACTTTGCCGCCGCACCTTTTTTTTACCAACTGTTGTGCGAGGTATCGAAATAGCTCAGTTTTGTTGTCATCAATTGTCCCATACAATGTCAATTCTCGTTACGTTTTCCAGTTGCCCTTTTATGTACTTCACAAAAACTTCTGAATATTCTTGGAACGTTGTCGCTTCACCTGGTTTTAGAATGTTCACAATAGCCGCTCCATTGAACAACCTGGCATCAACATTGGGTGTACTATCCTGTGTGTTACAATGGGTTTCCAGACATGTTAGCAAAGTTGATTTTGTGCCCGACCTCATGGTACCAACATGTGACAGAGCAGGTGGATAAGCCTGGTTTTCATGGCGAAAGAATTCGTCGAGGTCACACCCATGTACCTGACAGGACACATAGATTGTGAGAATAGGGAGCAGCTTTTCCTCAGATAATAATGTGTAATTTTTCCTTATTTACTTCCCGTGCTGGTGGGCATCTTAATAATTGCAGCTTGTTTCTCTTCAGAGTTGCAAAGACAGATTCAGTTTTTTGGATCAACCTATTTGCTACAAACTCCTCAAACTGTTTCAGCCCAATCCGGTCAATGTAACGTACTGTTGTTGCTACTTGTACATCTGCAATGTTTCTGCTATTCAAGATGACAAAGTCCGAACTTTCCTCAATAAATGGGTTTCCCATTCTGCCCATTACATCAACGAGTGCTGTTACTTGGTTCTGAAATGTGGACTGCGTGTGTCTTGTCTGTTCGTGATGCTGAGTATGGGAATCCGGATTTCGCTACTGCTGCATCAATTCCTGTGACGTCTCAAAGTCTTGAATGACTCTGGTTATCTCGGGTCCTGATACCATCCAACGCAGCAATTCTGATGTGTTTTCTGTGAGACCTACAGCACCACCATCACTTTTTACGCATTTATTGTAATGTTTGTGAGCCTGATCTATCGGTATTGCCGACAAAGCTCTGGGGAATTTCCGTACAACAAATTTGCCATTCTGGAATTCTGTTTTAACTGCTGGGTGTTTGACTCTGAGAGATACCATGTCACGAATATGGACAGGAAGCCATCGTGCATAATATGTGTGATCTAATGCAAAAAAACCCGGAATAATCTTCATAAGGACGTCTTTAAACAGCTTAAAGTTTCCTGTTCGTAATGATTCTACAAATGTAAGAATGTTCAACTCAAACTCCAGTGTTTTTACCCAGTATTGGAATGTTGGACTTTCAGCACTTCGTTTTGCTCTCCAATTCTCAAAGGTTAACTGTTCTTCGCCACACCTTTCTGTGTACTCAGTAAATGCCTTTTGCATCAGGAAGTGGAGACTGCTTGCTGTTACCTGGTGGGCATGGCGCGTTCTGGATATGTGTGTTGCCTTTAAGAAAGAGTCTGCAGTACCAGGGGATGCTATTCCAGCTTCTGTCAATGCCTCGGTCCATCCACTCTCCTCCAGCCAATCTCCAATAGTCTTCAAAGCTGCAAGCTCAATATGAAGCCCTCCAAACATGACCACACATTTGTCCTCTCCGTGTGTAAGAGGATAAATCCATTGCATTTTCTTTGCCAGTGTAAACAGAGGCAGATCAAAAGCAATGACAGGAGTTTGTCCGGGGTAAAGAAAGTCTACATTTTTCTGTACAATACTCATGGCATGCTTAATCATAGCAGGTGATTTGGATGACTCATCGAATAGGGGCAATAATGCAGATATATCGCTGTTTGACGGCTATATGGCGACTGTTGGCATGCATCTGCACGGAATGCAGCCCATGATATGTACATGTCCTGTTCACTATCACTGTCATCCGCATCCAAAATAACATCCTTCACATGGTTCAGCCAACTAAAAATATATAACGAAAGAAACGCCTGTAAACCACATATGAAAATTCATATTCATGACTCAGTTTTTCTCCTTAACAGCAAACAATGTTTAATAATACAATTCAAGATGTTTCATCATTAAAATTTCAAGAGAGTCATTGGTTTTGTAAATGAATACTTTTTATATTCGTATTTCTAATAATTTAAATTATGAATGACAAACTTTTTAAAAACATGTCAATATGAAATTGTAGATGTGAAAATACAAAAAGGTAAACTGTACATTTGTATAAACCTACCTGTACTGTCCTTGCATGGCACCAGGCATTGTGTCTCCAGTAGGGGTAACCAAACCCTGAGTTCCCGGTATCTTAGGCTCTGTCTCCCGAAGTACTATTGGTGGAACACTGGTGTAGACGTCTGGAAGGGGTCGTATAGTTTTTCTGACCTGTGTCTCTGAAATCACTACCACTTCTCGTTTTTGCCAAACAAAATGTGGCGAAGGGTGTTAAAACAGAGAGATGCCGGTTCCGTGTAAAGAACCACGAGCTGTAGTTGAACTCGGATTGTGGTCGATGTTGTCAACCGCTCCAGTAGTAAAAAGCTCTTTCCGAAGCTTGGGTGGACACACAAGTTCTTCTGCTTCAAATCTGGCACACACAGCATTTCCGATATCTGTTGATAATTCAAGAACTCTTTCATAGGATACTGACATGCCCATCCTGAATAGCCTGTCAATTAATCCCCTCTTAAGCGTTTCAGCGTGTAGCTTAAGACCGATGTACACTGGTAATGGGGGTTCTCTTTCTTTGGAGTGGAAGACGGCGACGAACTGAAAGTTTATAGAACAAAAGCTGGGCAATGGTCAGGGAAGCTTAAGTAACCATGTTACTCGTCTGGTATTTAATATTGGGGCCTCCAAGTATCATTGAAACTAATGTCAAGAGGGACTGAGGTACTGCTTTTTCCTGACATTGCTCTTCAAACTCCCCTTTAAAAGTATATTTCTCATGTTCCATTATATCTCTTCGAACGATGTTCGCAGCTTTTGATAGATGTATGGCCTCTTCATCATAATCATTCCCACATGCTATCTTAAGTGCATCTCCAATATCTTCTTTGAATACCAACAACACCTCGCGACCGTGCTTGTGGGCTTGCAAACAAGGAAATTGTTCCAGGATCCTCTTCTTCAGATCAGTAGTATGAAGACGGCTGGTTATATTACACCCAAGTTGGTCGAAACGTGAAGCATACATAGAAGCAAGGTCGGATAACTTGAAAACCGGGGCACTGTCAGGGCTGTTGCCTCTGACTTCCTCTATGAAAGAAACAAGTTCTGCCAGGGCGATGCCTTGGAGTCTTTTTTCTCTTCTGTCGGTGCTTGTACTGGTGTTCGCTTTATCAACTTTCCTGTAGAAAGCAGTCCGGCAGTGTAAATGATACATGGCATATTGCGCTATCATATCTCCTGAACTGAGTTTTCCAAGTGTCCATGTATCTTGTATTAAAAGTGTTGCGTGTCGCATTCTATGTAGCTTGGTACTATTGAATTGGTCTCTGCACTTCTTACGATATTTTGCATTATGTATATTAAAATTTCTTTCTATTCCATGTCCCTCTGCCAGTTTCAGAAAATTCACATTTTCTGGCAAACCATCTAGTTTGTTAAATTCCTGTAACTGTTCAGCTAATGACTTATATCCAGAACCTGTTTTGATGTCCTTTCGCTTGGTTTCAGTTGAACATTGAAGCGGATCAACTTTTGTTTGCTGACACAAACAACATTTATCCCAGTCGATATAATTCTCTCTCGACAGTAAAACTGATTTGG